AACAAACTTCCTCTTGTATTATGTTTTAGCAAATTATTTATTTTTGTTAAATTGTAGCAACATTTGTTGGTGAAGAAATCTATGAAATAAGAAAAAAACAGAACCCCGAAAAATATATTAAGAAAACGAAAAACCGAAACTGAAATAAAAAACCAATGGTTTGGTATTTTCCAAAATAAAAAATCACAATTTTCCAATCTGATTTTGGTTTTACAAAAATTCAACTTTCGGATTTCCATATCTAAATCTCTCCTCCTTTTTATAATCGAAAAATGATTATAAAACCAAAAAGGGAATGAGAAAAAACGCTCAATTCAGAATTTTTCTATCCAAAACTCTCCATTGTGACATGAGAGATAGAGAGAGAGAGACATGTAAACACCTCTATATAAGGTGGGTTCATACCACATGTAGAGGTGTGCTTGAGAGATGTAACATTGAGAGTGTTAGTGTATGTTAATTATGTAGATTTATATTTAGATCATTTTTTGTAAACACCTTTCATAGTCGAATGCATCTCCAAACCAATGGTCATAATTCACATCAGTGAGAATGATTCATTTTTTTGTAAAACCAAAATTAGATTGGAAATTTTGATTTTTTATTTTGGAAAATGCCAAACCATTGGTTTTTTATTTCGGTTTCGGTTTTTCGTTTTTTTTTTAATATATTTTCGGGGTTTTGTTTTTTTTATTTCATAGATTTCTTCATTAACAAATGTTGCTAGAATTTAACAAAAATAAATAATTTGCTAAAACATAATACAATAAGAAGTTTGTTCACATTTAGTCATTGAACTTTTCTAGAGGGAAACGAACTTTTGATTTTGTTCATATTTAGTCACTAAACTTTTTTTCATTATATATTTGCCACTGAACTATTGAAACTGTTCACATTTTACCCTTATGACCGGTAACAACCGGTCATAAGGGTAAAATGTGAACAATTTCAATAGTTCAGTGACAAATAGATAACGAAAAAAATTTAGTGACTAAATGTCAACAAAATCGAAAGTTTGTTACCTTTTCAAGTCATTATCCCTATTAAAAAATAACTAGTAAGAAACTAACAAAAAAAAAATAAGAAACTAACAAAAAAATAAGACGATATCTATTAGGGAGTCATTTGTTCCAATATCAACATTGCACCATCGTACTATCGTAGGAACAATGCCCAACATATTCATAACGCACAAAAGTGTGGTCGATAGATTCATCTTCATGAAGGTAGAGAGGACACATTATATTCGGAACTAGAACTCCTCTGAATCGAAGTGCTGCTAATGTTATTGTTCAAATCATCAAATGACTAACTTATGTTGAAATTTAAAATGTTATATAGTTATGTCGATAGTTTTCATACGAGTTTTAATTGGGTTTTTTGTTAGAATATATGGTTAAATTTTTTATATCTATGCATTAGCTCTAAACCTCTAACTCTTATAAGTTAGAATTATGAATATGTTTTGGATGTTCTAGTCTTGACTAAGGAAATAACTAAACAGTTTCTTAACAGTATATCATCTAATATAATTATATATGGCTTACATATATTTTAGTCTAGAATGTTTTTTTTACAAATATAATTAAATTTGAAATTTGTGTTACGGTTTTATTTTTTGGTCCATGTAAAACGTAATTCTAACTTTTGTTCTTGTTTTTTTAAACCCTTTTTCCTTTATTGATTCATAATTTGTAAAAATAAAAATTATTTGCAGCCACCAAACTCCAACCATATGCCTACCCTCGACCTGAACCCATCGTTGTATGCCAATACTTGAATTGGTATAACTCAAAGTGCAAAAGAAAGAGGAGCTAAAGATCATAACGTATTGTTCAAATGACTAACATCAAAAGGGGTAAGTAATTAACTAAATATGTACATACCCATTCTCGATGGTAACAAAGTAACTTGCAAATCGTATTAATCTCCATAAATGTTTGTAAACTGCCCACATCTTCTTATACATTTTTTAGAACAACAAAATAATCTATTCTTATATTACAATTTATGTCTCCAAAAAGACATTAATCCATAACCTCTTAAATGAGAGAATCACTAATTACTATTAGCTTAAAGACTTTT